GTTCTTTCCACCATACCAAGGAGTACTATTGATATTAACTTTTAATAAAAATGGCATTAAAATATAAAGAAGAAGCCCAATCTCTTTTTTGTTCAGATTCATTTAAATGTGAAAAGTGTACAAAACAAAAATCTAATCAAATATATAAAAAGAAGCCCATCTTGGCCCAAGATGACTACAACCTTTGAGTTTAAGCTGCTAACCTGTGAATGGTGACTTTATGCCTGGCAGATGACATGCGTGCTCAATGTGGAAGACAATGAGTGATATTCTCTGGATATCAGTGTCATACGTAGGTAGGTATCCTAAAAATCTGGAATATGCTTGTATTTTTAATGATAGGAACTAGGTGATTGACATTCCCATGAATTAACTAATAATTTCAACCCCATTAATGAGATGGGGTTATTGTTTTTCTTCTAAAGGGTGAAGATGCTTTAGAACAGGGCCACACAGTAACAGTTTAGGTTTTTTGAATCATATGGTCTCTGTTGCAACTATTCAACTCAGCTACTATACTGCAAAAACAGCCATGGACAATATGTAAGCAAAGGGGTAGAGCTGAATTCCAACTTTATTAACAGAATAGGCACAGGCCAGATTTGGTTCAAGAGTCAAGGTTTGCTGACTCCCTGCTTTAGAGTATCATAAAGATGACAAACTCTGGGCTGCTTCACATCCCCTAGTGTACACACCATATTGCTGGCCTCTCTCCGTTTTTAATGCAGCTCTAATCCTACAGCTAAGCAAACTTAGAAGGTGCCAAAACCTGAAGAAACCATCAAGCCATGTGGCCATTTGGGATAATCATGTTCACATCATAACATCATTATCTAAAGCCTTATATTTTCCTCAAAGCATTCTTTGTCAAATAAAGTAATGTTTAAAATATAATATCCAAGCTTTGAAAGTAAGCTGCTATTCTCCAGAGTAAAGTTACTGATGTTTTGATGGGAAAGAAAGAAAAGTGCTTTCTAACTCCTAGAAATGCTTTGCAAAAATGCAACCCAATGCTGGCTTTCTATTTATAAGTGATCAAATTTACATTTTGTTTGCTCATAATAGAATTCAACTCGTTGCCAAAGTTCACTGCTGTTCTAAGTCAAAGATCACCTACCAGTCCAATTTCTCATCTTCTTTATGAGTCTCTCTCTCTCACCTTAGCATGTCTGGAAATGTAGTGAAGCCCTATCAGGGCGATTTTAAACTTTGGATTAAATGGCCCACTCTCATCTTGGGAGCTGCCCTTTTATTCTGTGGACCAGGCTAGAATGGCACTGAAGGTGAAACAAGTCTTTTATTCCTAGTACTACTTTTAAAAATCTGGCTATTGAGATAGTTGGTTGGGTTTGATGTGGAATCTCACAAACCTGGGTTTGGGAATGCTTTTGTCCTTGGCCAAGTTTCTTAACCCTTTTGAAATCCTGACCCTCAGTCTCCATCTGCCTCTTTGTACTCCAGATTATCTTTTTTCATGCTATTCTATTGATATCAGGTTTTTTTTACATTCATATATCCTCCAATGGACTTCCCCTGAGTGTATTGTAAGTGTACACACACATAGGAGGCATGCAAGGGTCTCTGAACAAGGTCTCTGAACAAGGAAAGACTGATGGTAGGAAAATTGAGAGTATAGAAAGAGACTGCAATCCCCAGAGTAGTCCAGGATGAGAAAATTTATTTGGTTTATTTTCTTTTGGAAAGGAGCCTCCAGGTATGGCTTAAGTGATTAGAACATAACCTTCTTGAGAGCAGAGACTTTGTCAGTTTCATTAACCAGTACCTAGAACTGCTCTTGGGCACTTGGTGAGTGCTCAATTAATATTTGTTTTCTTAACGAACAATTGAGCATACTTCGATCTGATTTGCTTTTGTATTAACCATGAGAAGTTTCTGGAGTTTTGCATGGGGAAAAAGCAGGGATTCTGAGGAGAAGGTGCTTTAATATTGGACAAGGATGGTACCATTTGCATACTTACTTACCTAGAGCATGCAATTTATGAAATGGTAATTCCAATTCCCCAATATGAAAATTGATCTGAAATAGTTCAGGGAAAAGTCCAATGTCCATTCTAGGCCAGTTTCTAACCAGCTATGATACCTTGAAGCCATACCGACAATATTCCCTTTAATTTCATTTCCCTCTTGCCAAGAGAAATTTTGCTGTTGCTCAGAACTTAGAGTATCAGCATGGTGATAGGTACACTGGGGTAAAGAGAAGTTGCTTCCCAAAATGGCTTGTAAGTCTCTTCATGGTTATCCATGTTCTATAAAGGGGTGAGAGGACAGCAACACTGCCATATGATGTAGTTCACATACCTGAAAACATCATCATGTGCTGAAAGTTCCAGGGGATCTTCTGTTTTCGGCCCAGATTCAGGAGGAAGGAGAGAGGATATATGTTGCAGGCTCTGGCAACAAAAATTGCTAGCTGTAGATATACGTAGAGGGAAACATTGAGGAAAATGTTGCTGCAATGAGGGTTTGAGTCCTTGAGCTTAAATATTATGACCTTAAGCTTCTCTACATTATGACTCAGAAAACAGGGATAAATATGTCAATTTGTATATTTCCAACTTGCTTCCAAAATTTATCTTTCAATGTCAATTCCTTTCCAGATATAATAGAGAACTCTGCCTTTCTTTCAATATATACTTGGTTTTAAATTGTTAGCCCAAAACGATTTCAATCATTGTAAAATTTCTCATCATATTTATACTGCTGATGACTGACTCTATCCTCAGTTCTGCTGTAAAATGTGAGGCAGAGACCATTCAGATGCTGCGGCATTATCTTCTCAAACAGCACTTGAGAAAAGATAAATTTACTTCTGCTCAGGATAATCACCTTACTTTCCATCAGTTTATACTCCCTGTATCTAGCAAGCTTTGCTTGCTTTTTTCTTTTAATGGATTTCATTTTGAGAGGAATTACCTACCTGTATAATACAACTGTTGTATTAAACAGGCATTTTATTAAAATCTAAGTTTTTATAAGTAAAAATCTTTGAAAATGTTGGTGGTGTTTGAATTTCCCTTTTTGTTGTTTTTGACTCCTTCCCTGATAGTCTGTTCTGGTTTGTCCATAATGGGATGGATTTATTTGGAAAGAGGGAGCTTCCTTCTAAAATCTAGGCTTCAGATGAAATTTTAGAGTTCATCTGAATGCTCAAAAAAAAAAAAAAAAAAAGAGGCTAAGAAGCAAATGCAAATGCTTAGTTGGAACAGGACTTATCGAGAGGGGTTGGCTCTCCTGGCTGTTATAATTATCTGCCTGTGATCTGAGGGGGTGTCTGCCCATTTTCCAAGTGGGAAGAAGAACAACAGCTGCTGACCATTCTTGGGGACAGTCCTAATGGCTCAACATCTTTTCAGACAGACATCCATTCCCTTGGGAATGCCTCCTGCCCCAAGCCTAGAGCCAGAAAAGTCCTCTGCGTTAAAAGCGAGATCTGATCATATGTGTCCTCATAGGGAAGGAAAGGTGCTGTCTTATTAAAATAAACTTACATATGTACAATGCTTATGATATTGAAAGCACATTTATCATGCTAATTTCATTTGATCTTTACTCTGTCTACCCCATTTTCAAAGTCTTCACTGGAAAAAAGATTTTATTATCTTGTAATACAAACATTTACAAAACTTAATAATCCCGGATGATATACTCTGATGTACTCTAATGCAGATTAAATGTATTTCTCTATAAAGAATGGATTGACATGATTTTTATATAAATGATATAATTTTAGTTAAACATACTTTGAATACTTGAAAAATATCATTTTCCTTTAGATTTCTCCCTTTATTTCCCTCATTATTTTCCAAACTTCTTATTCTGAACCATAAGGATTTAATAAAGGCCCCAATTTCTTAGGATGCTTTTCTCCCCTAACTAGAAATCACATATTTGCCTGGAGTTTGAGCCTTGCAGTGAACCTGAGGAAGTTGCCTTAAAAATTTAACAGAATAATCAGTAAAAATAAGTAGTTTGTTATCTTCTCTAGTCACCCCACGTTCTGTATTTCAAAGGATACAAAGGCTCCAAGTATAAAAAGTGCATTAAAGATATGATTCTGGAACGTGAACAGTGCCAGGCCCATGTAACAGAAGATGACATTCTCAGCCAAAAAGTTCATAAATTCAAACAACTGAAAACAAAACAGAAAACAAAACCCGTTATTTGTGACTCAGGTTTGAGTCCACTTAATTTCTTGCAACTGTATTTGATGACTGGATGGGACTCCTTTACTGGGGAAAGCCACCACTTCGGCCTTGTGCTCAGCTTCTGGAGGTGTGCAGGGGCCCTGTCCTCCTAGTGACAGATGCCACAGCCATGTCACCATCCCGTTCTTTCTAGCTGTAAGACTGCCAGAGATACCCCTGGGTAATGTTTACCATCATGATCCTTCCATGGAACAATTCCCACTAAGATGACAAAATAATCTCTGTTAAAGAAACTGAAGCTAAGTGATTTACTTAAGGTGTGCCTACAAGGGTGCAAAGATTATTTAACCCCCTGTGTACATTACCCAGTAGACGCACTTGAGTTCCCGGGCTCTAAATTAAAAAAACCAAACAAACAAAAAACCCCCTTAAACTAAATTATCTTTCTCAGACAGGCAGGAGGGACAAACTTGGAAAACTTGGAAACCTGAAACAAGGATGAATGTCGATTATATTTCAACATTAGGATGATCAGTATATTTCAAACCCTAGACAATGAGACTCATTAAATTGACTGATGTAGGTATAACCATTAAATGTCTACAATTTCTAGCTGGTAAAAAGAAAATGATTAATCCCAGAGATCAGTTTATGCAGCAAGAACACAATAGATACATCAAATTCAGTCAGAAGAATGGAGTGATAACACGCTATGCTGAAGGATGCTCCCAAAAGTATTCTTAGACTATCAACTAAACAATTTAAGCTGAACATGAAAAACGTTCTCCAACTTCCAGATAAAAGTTAAAGGAAAATATGTCTAGGGGCTACAACAAAGGCAGATTTGGAAGAGATTTTATGTTCCAGACTTTTCATTTGGAAGTTTCTGAAACTATATTCCTGGACCTTCATAAATCACCATGTTAGGTAAACGTCTCTGGAGGCATTTCTCTTTGACTTTTTAAGGACTCATTATTTTTTCATGTAATGTATTTACAGCCCCACAAATAATGCCCAATACGTGTTCACTGACAGTTGACAGAAAGAAAAACAGAATCTTGTCAGGAAGATTATTTAAAACCAGTAATAGAAAGAGAGTATTAAAAAAAGAAACAGCTCCTTTGGTACAAGATGGTCTTTCTGCAGGGGCAGCCATCATCAATTATCCTGATCACTCACTTTACATTCTAGGCTGGCTCATGGAAACAAGCACTGTCACTCAAATAACTGCAGAAAACTTGGAAACACTGAGGGAGATACGGAGGACAGGGAACATTTTTTCTGCCCCATTATATCTTTACTTTTTCAAAAAGTGAGATTTGGCTATAGTCGTAATCTGCTCTAGCTGCCGTAATGAAAGACCACAGACTGGGTGGCTTAAACAACAGGAATTTATTTTGCACAGTTCTGGAGGCTGGGAAATTCAAAATCAAGGTACCAGCTGATTCAGTGCTGGTGAAGTTCCAGGTCCTCTTCCTGGTTTGTAAATGGTCACCTACTTGCTATGTCCCCACATGGAGGAGAGAGATGCCATCTCTATTCTATCTCTTTTTACAAGGGCACTAATCCAATTCCTGAGGGCTCCACCATCATGATTTAACTACCTCCCTAAGGCCACATCTCCACATACCATCACTTCAACATATGAATTTTGGGAGAATACAAACATTCAGTCCTTAGCAGCTATCTAGTTTTTAACATCAGTAAACAAATGTCAAGGTTAAATTCATAGGACCTCTCCTTCCCCTGACTTCCTCCCAAGTATATTTTACTCCAGAGAGGACATTTTGCTACTGGAATCCATCCAGCCTTCTCTTAGTGGCCTCACTTCAATTTCTCTCTGGGGCCCACTTCATTCCTGACTCTCAGCCCATGGGTTGATGCCTCCATGGCTCAGATATGGAGCATGCAATTTAGAACCAAACTACTTAAATCAATGCAGAGTGTTTGGTTCAGAAATGGATATGACACAGGTGGAGCCAAAGAAATTCAATGAGGCCTTTTCAGGGAATGCTAGGGCAAAGATCCCTACATTTTCAAGGGATGGAAACTCAGAAAGATGCTGGCCAGGGAGCTGCTAGCAGCCATCTTGTGATCACAGGGAAAATGGCTGTCTGAGAAAGAAGCTAGGTCCTGATAACACTATTTAATCTCCTGTATTTGGCCTCTTCCAAAGCAAAATCTACACTTCAACTTTTTTTCTATTTCTGCATATTATGGGGGTATAAATGTTTAGGTTACATATGTTGCCCTTCCCTCCCCCCCGTCAGAGCTTCAAGCGTGTCTATTGCCCAGATGGTGCGCATTGCGCGCATTCAACTTTTGAAGTAAAGAGACTAAGAAATTACTTTTTGATTTGAGGTGGGGTTCTATAATTTAAAATGATGCATAGTCCTTTATAATCCTGTACTAATTTAAAAATAACACCAAACAGACATTTCCACTCCATACAGATTATAATCAAAAGGGTATGGAGTCAATTTTTTGACTATTTTCAGATAATAAGAAAGTCTGTTACCCTTGCCCCCCACCCACTTTTAATCTATTAATCATCTTAAAGAGAGAAGAAAAGTATACGGGAAAAGCTAGTTTCTTTCTGTTGGTTGTTGAGACATGACAGAAACTTTTTGCTCTACATTTTACATGGGGCCTGTGGTTTTACATGTTTGTTTTAGAGATTTACTTCTTTTGGATAACGTAGGATTTTAATTTGATTTATTCACTCAGCTTATTGAAATCTAACAGTGCCCAACATTACAAGTAACTGTGTATGTACACGTAGTACAAAAATTCCACTTTGCATTTAGATCCATTTTTGGACCTGTTCTTTGATCCTGTTGTTATCTATTACTCTGTCAATACCACACTTTTTT